GGGGGGGGTACACACTCAGTAAATACTCTTTAGGTAGGACTGATCTGGAAGATGATAAATGAACTGCTGCTGTGTGATTTCTGTCAGAGAACTGTCCTCCACACAGTACATAGAAAGCTTGTTCTTTCCTTCCCACATAGACTGACTGGTTTAATCAGTACAAGAAATCCCTGGCAACGTATATGAGGTCTCTGGGAGGTGATGAAGGTCTGGACATAACACAAGATATGAAGCCCCCCAAAAGTCTGTACATAGAGGTACGTAACTAGAAATCTATGTAGAGAAATAAAGGAGCAAATTTTCATCACAACCGCCCACAATGTACATAGATGGATCAGTCATTAGAGGGGAAATTGTACTGAAGCCTCGACGATTAGGAGACAATTGAACCTTTTTTGCAGCTGACTGCTTTTAGCTTAACCACCTCCCGGCAAGGCGTTGTAAAAAAGAACGGCCGGCCGGGAGCTCTCTGGATCTAGGCAGGCGTTTTTAAACGTCCGCTCAACCACGCCCACACACACAAGCGGGAAAGTGCCCAAATTTAAAAACAGGCAGCGATGCCTGTTTACATACAAGCGATCCGCCGCATTCACTTGAAGTTAAGTGGGGGAAAAAAATGACGTTGCCCCAAAAAATTGAAAACCACACATGAAAAATGTTTGTTTTTTTTAAACCACAAAATGTAAGTGCTCACCCATACATACACGCATGCAAACATGCGTCATGTGCACATAGGTGCGAAAACGACGATTGCGTCCATTACGCTGCACATGTAACATATCGCTGCGAACGTCACAGTGTGAGCAATAATTTCAGTCACTGATAACACTAAACTGATGAGCGGCAAAAGCTTGTAAAGCGTCGCCTATGGCCAATTGTAGGCATGGTAGTTTTTTGCGATTTCGCATGCAATTTTAAAGCTTGACATGTTTGGTGTCTATTTACCTGACGTGACCCCGTCTTTTATATTTTACCAAAAAATTGGGTAATAATAAATGTTTTATAACATAATGTTAAAAAAAAACAAAAAACTTTCTTTTCAAAATTTTCAGTAATTTTTCCTTGATATAGTAAAAGTGGTGATTAAATACCACCAAAAGAGCGATATCTGTCCCCCAAAAATGCGCGGTCAGCAAGTAGTTAAACAATGTATTTCCCTATGTGAAGATTTCTCTTTATTTGTACTCCTGGTGAGGGGAGGTCTTGCTATCAGACACAGACTGGGGGAAGAAAAACTTGAGAGCTTCTGAGCGCTCTGTGCTCGGTCCAAAAATAAAAAGTTTGCCTGGAGTTCTGCTTGAGGGCCCAGTCACACCATCAAGAGTGCGTTCAGCCTCTGGAACGAGCCTGCGTTCCGGTCCAGTGCGACCTGCAAAAAATAGTGCATGCAGTGTTTTTTTCAGATTGCACTGGACCGGTACGCAGGCACTAATGTGCCACGCGTTCGGGTGCCAGCGATCGCACCGCGGGTGGGGGGCGTGGCTGTGTTGCCATTGAGTTCAATGCACTACCACGCCCCCACCCGCCCCAAAACAAAGTGAGCCGGCCGGGTTGCATTCCAGAGGCCGAACGCACTGGAATGCACTCTTGATGGTGTGACTGGGCCCTTATTGACTGTCCATGGTGTTTATGGCATGCACAGGAGCATCATTTAACCCCTTCATGACTGAGGCCCTTTTTTCATTTTTTGCACCCATATTACGTAGGCGCACCCGACGCGCGGGGGCGGGGGATTTTTACTATTAGATTGATTTTATTTAATTTTACAAGCCCCCCCATGTGATAGCAGATGGTGGTGACAGGTACTCTTTAAGGTAATTTTATCATTCAGTCTAAGATGAGCTCATTTGTAAGTTATCACAACATACTAGTTGCTAGTAACTTGCTTCATGTAAGTGGTTTCCAGCTTGGTAATGCCGAGGTGGATCACAGGTCAAGGCCTCTACCAAAAATGTTATATGTTAATATAAAGTATAAATGTATTTATGACTCCAATATTGTGCTAAAGATGATTATTCTATTCACTGACTGGACACTGACATCAGCTGTCAGTGCAGGCTACCATTTTGATTTGTATTAATGACATTACTTTTTATTTATCTGGGAGGTGTATTATCAGTTAAAGATCGGCCAAGCCTTATTTATCTTTGTCTGTAGGTGCGCTGCTTGAGAGATTATGGTGAATTTGAGATTGACGATGGCACAACAATTCTGCTGAAGAAAAACAGCCAGGTAAGATTCCTCTGAATAAAAGGTGTATAGCTAAAGGCCAAACTTCTTTTTAGATTTGGTAGTAGTGAGGGGTTGGAACTAGAGCTGCAGCTAACGATTATTTTCAAAATCGATTAGTTAGCCGATTATTAAGTTCGATTAATCGGTTAATCGGATAAAAAATACATTTTAAAAAATGGCTCCAGTGATGGGACCACTGTCATGTTTCTATTGGCGCCTGACTGTAATTGCCCTGATCAGCAATGAAAATGAGGGTAAATCCAACATTTTGAGCTGACGCCAGAGCAGAAATAGAGGAGAAATCTTCCAACAGAGACACTTAAGGCCGTGACACACTGCACGCGAGGCCGTGCAGAGCGAAGCAAAGCTATCCGGCACGGAGCTTTGCGTGCAGTGTGTGAGCTGACTGCAGTCAGATGATTGACTGCACCTTCAGCCAATCGGCTCGTCCGTAACAACCAGCTGTCGCATACCGACGCGCTGGTTTATTCGCGTGAGCCGATTGGCTGAAGTTGGAATTGTTGATCTCGGCACGCTCAGCTCCGCGAGCTCTCGCCAGCTGAGGTGCCCAGGAGAAAATGACATGACACACTGCTCGCAAAGGCAGCGCGCCACCGCTCCGCGCTGCTTCGCCTGCAGTGTGTCACGGCCTTTATTCCCATGATAACTGTCTAAGAGGGGATTTAAATGTGATTGGTGGCTTTGGGAAATGTCTTGGATTGAACACGCTTAGGAAAAACAAGGCTTTATATATATATATATATATATGAAAGAGCACAAAGCGCCTGGAGGGGTGTGTTTGGGAATAGCACTCCTAAATCACAAGTGAACAAAAGGGGTTATCGGATCACTGACCCCAAAGGAGTGGACAAATGTATTGTAGTAATGCCTAAATGATGGCACGGAGCAAGCAGGCTGTGTTACTTTTATGCACCTCCATGAATTTTTCCCCAATTACTGATGTCTGTAAATCGCGTGTAGTCCTTCTCAGCATAATGCTGTGTAACAGATGGGGCCCTAAGGCTGAATGAGCAGCCTGTTTCCCTGTGGTTCCCTTTAGTGGTGGGCAAGAGCTCCATTTTTAGCAGAAGAGTGAGATGTAAACGGATGATGTCAAACATGCAGGACACAGTGGGAGAAAAGCACCGACCACTAGAAAGGCGCACTTCGGGCACAATGATAACACATATGATTACACGGTGCACTGGGTGTGTAAATGATCATTAAAAAGCTGGGTGTTATGTGCAGAGAACGGCTGCAGAGTATACAAATCTTACCTTGCAGCATACCGTCTCCGGGGTGTGGCTTTAAGTAAGTTAAAGAATATTTTTGCAGAAAAGGTGACCGTTAAACAATGAAATGATCCTGCTGTGTAGAGACATACCGTGCCTTGTGAAAGTATTCACCCTCCCTTGTGTTTTTCTTGTTTGATTGCATTGCAGCCTGGAATTAAAATGGATTTTTTGGAGTGTTTGTACCATGTGATGTGCACAACATACGTACCACTTTGTAGTTGCAGAATGTTTTATTGTGACACAAACGTAAATCCCTAAATAAGATGCGGCCCAACAAATTAACTTTAGAAGTCCCATAATTCGTTGATAAAGATCCACCTGTGTGCAATCGGTGTCACATGATGTCAGTTTGAATATACCTGTTTTTAAAGGCCCCCGAGTCTGCAACACCACTAAGCAAGCAACATGAGGACCAAGGTGCTCTCCAAAAAGGTCGGAGATAACGTTGTGGAGAAATATAAATCAGTGTTGGGTTATAAAAATAAAACCCCAAACTTTGCACATACCCCCGGGGAACCATTATAACAAAATGGAAAGAATATGGCACCACTAGAAACCTGGCAAGAGAAGGCTGCCCGCCAAAACTCAGGCTGGGCAAGAGGGGTATTATTCAGAGATCCAACAAAAACTACAAAGATCCCCAATGTAAATGGGAGTCCCTGTCCATAGGACCACTCTAGGCTGTACACTCCAGAGTGGGGCTTTATAGACTAGTGGCCAGAAAAAAAGCAAACCCAACACTGCCCATCACCCTGTGGACAGCAGCCCCACAGTGTAACATCATGGTGGCACCGTCATGCTATGGGGAGGCTTTTCATTGGTATCTATAGATGTGAGACTGGGATGGAGGGTCTCCTTCAAATCTGCTGCTAAAATAACACTCGAGAGGGAAACATTTAAATGTCTTGGAATGGCCTAGCCAAACCCAGACCTCAATCCAATTGAGAATTTGTAGCGTGACTTGAAGATTGCTGTACACCAACACAGCCTATCTGACTTGAAGGAGCTGGAGCAGTTTTGCCTTGAACAATGAGCAAACATCCCAGTGACTAGAAATGCTAAGCTAACCAAATGATGGCTCTGCAAAGTATTGACTTTAGGGGGGTGAATACATATGCACACTCAAGACTTCTGTTTTTTTGTTTTGTTTTTGTCTTAATTGTCACATTAAAAATAATTTTACACCTATAAAGTGGTATGCATATTTTGTATATCACATGGTACAACCCCCCCCCCCCCC